CACTTGATCCCACCGCTATATACGTGCTAAAGGCTTGCCATATTTTAACTTCTGTAATATTAAAAAAAAAAACTAAGAAATTGGATTGTTATTAATTTTTCCAAATTAGGAAACTGAGGCACAGAGCTTTGAAATGACTGATGGAGCAGAGCTGGTGCTGGGCCCTCGGCCCCGAGGGCCGGTGTGACCCTTAGGCTCTGCCCGTGGTCACTTCATAGTGGTCTTCAAACTGATGATCTAGACTGACTGTAGTCCATTTATTATCAGAGCTTTTTACATCACTGCTGAAATCACAGAACACATCACAAAGCGCATTAAAATATGTAATGACTGACATTTTATATTTTCATCCTTGCACCTCCTGGAATCACCTCATGTACTCACAACAGCGGCCTCAGTCACACCCACCATCCATTTTTTCTGGCCAACAAAGCACTTTGGCAACAGCAGCAGGGGCCACCTGGCGCCCACCGCATCCTTCTCCTCCCAGCACCTCCCTCCCAGGGACACACCAGCCGCACCCTCCCTCTCCGCCTACCTGACCAGCTCACTTCCACACTCTCCTCCGTGGACTCTGGGCTGGCCAGGCTGAGGGTAGCCCTGTCCATTGTTGACCGTCCTCCCCTTTGGTCCTTGAAGTGCCGCTTCATGCCTGGACACCGGTGCCTGGGGGCTCAGACTCCAGCTGTGGGGTGAGAGTTGGCGGGGGCGGGGCTGAAGCCCCCATCCCGAGTGGCTGCTCGGCGCCCGTGGTCACCAGGCCCCTGGCTATTCTATGATGTCATCAGTGACATTGGTCTGTTCTGTGACCCATGTCGAGTTCAGAGACCCCTCCGGGATGCCAGGAGAGGCTTCCCACCACGATCTCATTGCCCCTCTGGACCTCTCCTGACTTGTGTATTGTCAGGGACTCAAACAAAGCACAGACACACACAGGTAAACACTTGTACACACACAGATTCACAAACACTTCAACACACCTAAATGGACACTCAGACACGTATGAACACATGTATATACACACCCGCACACAAACACCATCACTCAGGCACATGTACACTCAAATACACATAAACACACATCTAAACACACAGATGCCTGCACACACACACAGACACACACTCACACACATACAAATTCAGACCACATTCGCTTAACCACACACACGCTCATGTACGTATTGTCATCACCCAACATCCAGGTGGGCCTACCTTGAACTGTGGAAGCAGCAGGTGACCAGAAATCTCACCTCCTCCCCGCTGCTCCGAAGTCCCCACCCTGCCTCACTAGTTCCCTTGGCCCTCCCTTCCTGAGTCCCGCGACACCCCCCCACGTCTCCCCCTTCTCTGCTCACTCTCCTTCTGCTTGGGACTTTGCATTCGCCCCCTCCTTCTGCCAGGAGCGCCTTCCCCCAGGGCCCCACGTGGCTCTCTCTGTCACTGTAGCCTCTGCTGAGACAGAACTTATCCTCAGGAAAACCACACTCCTCACCCTCCATCTCTCTCACCCACCCTGCTTGACTTTTCACAAGCGCATCTATGCCCCTCAGACTCCGTCGTGTGTGGTGTATATGCATAATGGCTCTCCTCATCAATTTCCTCCTTAAAGGTCAGAGAGAGACGTCATCCATTTCCCCCATTACGTCACTAGCACCTAGACTACACTGACACATTAACAAGCATGCTAGAGATAATTGTCAAATTATTGAATGAATAAATGATAAATACTCTGGACAGTATTTGGATGGGTTGACGAGATCATGCCTACCAAGGCAAGCTGCCTTCTCTCTGCACCTCAGATCTCTGCAGCCCTGAGGCAGGCTGGTTCTCACCCCACGACTCAGCGTCCCCTCCTGTTTCTCCACCTGCACAAATTGCGTTCCACACAATCACTCGGGCATGCCTTCCTACCTGTTGTCTCTCTCTGCTTCAGGATGTCCTAGGAATTGAATGCACATCCTCCAAAACACTTCTCCCCGTACCCCCAGACCCCTGCTCATCTCACCTACTCATTTCCTCTGGATCCTGCATTCTAAACAGCTCCAAAAGATGATGGATTGCAATAATCCCAATATCCTGAAAATAATGCCGACACTGCCTGTATATGTTTTTACCTAGTAAGTCCAGAGACTTGTCTTATGAAAACAAAGGATACCAGCACAAAAATGTAAATAGATCAATGGAAGACAAAGTTTGTCCAAGAGAAGATCACATCATGTATTTGAATTTTTAAGAGAGAAAATAAATTACAAAAGTCTGGGAGAGAAAAAAAGACTCAGTCAATAAATGATGCTGAAAACTTTTGTTCACTATTTTTAAAACTCAATTTTTTTCTCACTGCGTATAAAACAACTAAGAATATTTCCATGTGGTTCTGGGGTTGCATTTTAATTTTAAATGTTTAGGAAGGAAATATAAGTTAACGTTTGTAATTACAGGGTGGCTTTTCTAAACTTCAGTGAATCAATCATCACAAGCATTGAGAATCTTTGTCATCTTGTTTTAAATTTCATTGCTTGAAGAAAAAAAAAACCTCACTGTTTCAATCTGCGTATCTCTGCTTTTTAGTAAAAGTGAAAGGAATAGTTCAGTCAAGGAAATGAACAGGCAATTCCAGGGAAAAGAAGGACAGATGGCTGATAAACATGTGAGAAGATGTTCAACCTAGCTGTAAGAAGGAAGCTACAAATTAAAAACACATGATATACGTATATTGTTTTCACTCACAAGGCAAGCAAGAATTAAAAAGAATGACAGTTGCTGGTGAGAACAAGAGAAAATGAACATTTTTGTACTCTGCTGGTAACAGTGTGACTTGCCTTTCTCAAAGGAGCACTCATTACAGTTAAAAGTGTAAAAAAAAAAAAATCATGCTCTTTCCCTCAGCAGTTTACTTAACCTCTCTTTCCTGGGAAACGATCACATTTTGTGCTATGTGCATTTAAAATAGCAGGTAGAGAAATATTGACTACAGGGTTGTCCATAATATAAAAAAGGATATGTTTCAAAGATCCATCAAAGTAAAGACATGGCTAAATCTATTACAAAATAATTGCAAGCCATGGAATATTATACTGCAATAAAGAAATCTGCATGTACTAATAATTCATGTTTAGTGAAAAAAAGCAAAATGTAAGGGAATTCTACTTAGAGATAAACTAAATATGCTACCCTCTTCCCTCCAAAGCCCTAAACCAAGCCTATCCTGCCAATGAGTGCAAAGACACAGAAAAGGTAATCGCACCCCCGCTGGGAACAGTAGTGACCTCAGGGAAAGGGAGAAAGCTTAGTGGGGCTGTGAGAGAATGTAGGTATTTTCCAAACATGGCCACACCAATATATTCCCCATCCCATGTGCTCTTCTTAAAAAGCGAAGGTGACACTCTTCCATGGAGAGGCAGGGTCCCTCTTCCTGAACCAGAGTGGACTTTGTAACTACCTCCACCAGTAGAATGCAGAAGAGCGATGCTTCGAGACTTTCGATGCTAGATCATAAAAGACAATATGACTTCCCCTTGGTTCTCTCTCTGTCTCTCTCTCTCCGCTCTCCTTTGGACTCAGCCACCACGGTGTGAGGAAGCCCAGACCATATGAAAGTGTTCCAGCCAACGTCCCAGCAAAGGTCCCAGCCAAACACCAGATGTGAGAGTGAACGAGCCTGCAGATGATTCTGGCTTCCAGCCTTTGAATCTTCGAGCTGGGGCGCCAGACATTTCAGGGCAGAGACAAATTCTGCCCTGCCTAAATTCCTGACCCTCAGAGAATGTAAGCAGGTGTAGTTTCACACCCTAAGTTTTGGGGCAATTTGTTACTCAGCCATAGTCATTTAACAGACTTTGATTTTCCATGCAGTGTTTAAGTATGTTCCGGTGAGACAGCTCATTTGACCAGCGTCTGGATTGCACTGCACCGTCCTGCTGCGGCTCCCACCACCCTCCATCCTTTTACTGACTTGTTCAGTCTCCGTATTCAGCACAGCAGCTGCAGGGTTGTTAACCCGTACCCCCTTGGGAAGCTACCGACAAGAGTACCATGTTTCTGCACAGTTCCTTTTGTCTTTAGCCTTACAGTTCCTAGTCAGCAACACTATTTTCCAAAGTTACTTGGGGTCAGCTCCTTTATTGCCCCCGAATCTACACATATTCTTTCTAACCCTCTCAACCATCCCACCTGAGTGGCACCATTAACCATCCACTATAGAGGGAGGCAGGTTGAGACTCCAAGGGGTTAGCTGAGGTGCAGGTAGGAGACATGAAGTGGGGTGCTGATATGCCAAGCCCCAAGTCAGGGATGCTCTGTCAGGCTGCTGGGGGTTGTCCCCCATGGGTTGCTTCCCAGGGGCGGCTTAGAGCAAAGCCCCACCAAAATATGCCACTGTCCCTCACCCTCATGTGGCCTCTGGGCTGTTTCCAGCCACAGAAAGACCCTCTGTCCCAGCCACTCCTCCTGCTCCACAGGGATACTTAGCCTCGAGGCCACCCATACGGGGTTCCTGCCCTCCCGGGAGAAGGCTGGGGAGGATGGTTACGGCCCAGGCTCACCCATTCCCCTGTGTCCCAGCCCCCGCAGTTTTCCAGCTGGGTCTCCAGCCTCGCCAAGAACTCCGAGGCCGGCAGGGATGGAGTGCAGAACCCCAAAAGGACCAACACAGCACATTCTCGGAGCTCTGACTCCCGGCCAACTCATTTCACACATCACAGGCGAGCCTGAAACCTCACCAAAATCCAAGCCTGGAGGATTTTCCAGTCTCAACTTCTCTTCCAAAACCTCCTCTTCCCAGCCCCTCCCCCTCTCTTTTTTTTTTTTCTCAGCTGAGAAGAAGCGAACAGGAAACAAAGCAGCCACAGACCCAGCAGGAAGCAGACGCCACCTCCCGCTTCCTTTCCCTTCTAACTCCAGAGATCGGCTTGTGCCACAATCTAGGCTACAGGGAGAATCAGATCATTCCCCCCAGAGCTGATGAGCTTCCAGAAATAGCCTGTGCGCTTGGCCAAGGAGCCCGACGTGACCCGGTGTGGTGCACGGGTTGTGGCATTTCTGTGGCTGAGCTGCTGTGTAAAGTGTTTTAAGTGGGCAATGTGCCTCTTTTCACCCTAGAGAATAGGGTGCCCTGAGAGGGTACCAGCCCCCGCCAAAAACTCCCATGATCAGACTTAACACTGAGGGAGGCAGGGAAACACCGAGATGCCCCAGATGCTACGGGCCACGTAGAGGGCTGGCTCCAGGCTAGGGAGTCCATCCTTGTGAAAGCCAATTCCTGGGAACTAATGACCACCTTAACTTTGGGCTAACCCTCCAGAGAAAGTGCCAGAAGATAAGTTGAGTATCAGAGGAGAGAAGTATGATCTTTTGAGTTCATTTTCGGTTGCTTCTTGTCACTATTTAAAAAGAAGTGAGTCAGTGGACCATGGAAGGAAAAAAACTCAGCCGCAGAGAAATGCAATCTAAAGTCTCCCCCAGCAAACGGGGATGGGAGCTTTGCTTTTGTTTTCCTTCAGACTTAATCACAGGCTGCTGCTTCCCGGTGGTTTGCTTGGAGCTGTCTTGGGGGTTTTGACCTTAACCTCAGGATGCCCACACAAACAGCCTAAGACTCCCCCATCATCAGG